TCGCAGCCCCGTGAGTCACTGGCGAGCAATGTGTTGTGCAGCTTCGTGTTTGTTTAGAGCGATGCCGGACTGGACCACATCCACCTCGGGAGTCTCTGGTCGGGGAGAGGGGGACAGGGCTCCAAGCTCCTCCTAGCAAAACCCAGAAGAGGCGATCTGTGCCCTAACACCCCTCCTCCTCCCCAGCCTGACACTGTCCTCTCCCACAGGAACGACCCCAAGCCCTGGGGCCACCTTTGCCTCTCAGCAGCGGCCCCGCAAGCTTTCCCTGCACACGCCGGGATTCAGGCGTGGGGTAGAGGATGGGGAAGGGCGTGCAGGGTGAGTTTGTGCCCAGACTAAAGCCAAGGCTCCGTGTTTCAGAGTCCCGCCGTCGGACCATCTACGAATATCATCGCGTGGAGCTGGATACCAGCAAGATCACCAACATGTCAGCCGTGGAGTTCACCCCGCTGCCCAGTAAGTCGGACAAACTGGCATGGTGCCCCGGGGCGTGTTTCCCTCCCGTGGTTTCACCCAGCAGCTACAACAGCCTCCTATTTACAGCCAAAGGGGGAAGCCAAGGCTGGAGGAGGCAGGTTCAATGTATGCTGGAAGGGTGCGTGGCTGCCACCCATCACCCGACGGCTGGGATCCTCCTGTGCGCCGGAGCCACGGAGGGAGGGTGTGCTATCGGCCGGGGCGCAGCTCGCCCCTGCTCTGGGCTGCCCCGGCCGTTCTGCCTTGTGAGAAGGTCCGTGGGTGGCTGTCGCTGAACGTCTGGTACGTGGATTTATCAGAGTCAACCTCAGCCAACAGCAAATCCCACGTGCGTGCCAGCCTGGCTGCTCCGTAGCGGAGATGGGAGCCTGGGATGCAGCAAAGCTCAGCTGGCAGGGGAGAAGCTGGTAAAGGAGGGATCTGCAGGCAATTACACCTTACCCGATCTGCTCAGCACTCCCCAGCGAGGTGACAGGAGCAGTGGTGCCAGCCACGACGTCCCTGGGAGCGACGTGCTGTGGTCCCAAGCTGCTGCTCTGCCAGCACCTTCCCTGGCTCTTGTTGCTCACCAGTAGATCCCCTCTCGTCCCAGTACTGTGATTCCTTATTTCTGCACTGGCAGCTCTTCCCACCTGTCCAGCTGCTGAAACTCCTCTTTGCTCCATAAGCTGCAGCTAATTTTGCTGGACACTGGTTCACTTCAGGTCTGTCTACAAGACATTTTCTACGCCTCCACACGCAGATGAGATTTCTTAAGGATCCTGTTAAATAGATACATTTTTAGTGTTCGGATCCAAGGACATGTGCGCACGAGGGAAAGTTGTCACGCAGTCCATAAATACAGAGCGGAGAGTAAATCCGTCACGAAGATACCAAGGTTATGCATTTAAATGGTCTCCCCAGGGTATTTAATGACAATTTTAACAGCAGGCAGGGTTACTGCGAAGCAGATCAGAAATAAGCATTCTGCAATGATTTTTTTCCTCTTTAAGACTCGCTATTTTGTTTTTCCCCAGCAGCTAGGGTAGCTGAGAGCCGTGTCTTCAGAGGAGCCACAGGGCTGGAGAGAACTAGACTCCACTGTTTCTTCTGGGGGTTTAATTTTTAGCCTTATTCAGGTCAGATTTGGATGAACTGGGTTAGCCTCTGCCTCTTCTCCAGAGGTCCTTGCTTGCTCGCTGCCTCCACATGGCAGTCTGCTCGGGAAAAGCTCAGGACGGGAGAGCGGAGGAGGTCAGGACTGGAGGACACCAGAAGAGTGTGGGCAGCCGGGTCTGGGGTGGCAGCAGTGGTGAGTTTGCTCAAGTGCGAGGGGCAGAACAGGGATGGAGAAGTGATGGGGTGTCTGGGTGAGGCGTCCCAGGTGGGACGGGGATGCTGTGCACCGATGCAGGATGTGAACCTCTGGTGTTCTGCCTTCATCACTTGGTATTTCACGGCACCGGATCAGCTCTCGGCTCATTGCGGGCTGGCAGGGACTCCCGAGGGGCTTGTTAGAACTGCTGGCTTCCGTGGCTGTTTTTGCAGACAAGCTCTCTTGGCCATCTTTTCTAGACAGGGTGACAAGCAAATGGTGGTCCTCTACAAGCAGCCAGTCCTCTCAGCGTGGAGATATTCTTGCAGAACTACTTAGTAGGACATAGCAACACAGAGGGTTAAACTGTTTGTATTGCTTCCTTCTGAGAAACACCCTCTGTACAACAAGAAATGACATAAGTCTCAGATGAGTTTTAATTCCCAGCTAAACAGAATGGGAAGACTTTTACAGGTAGACTGGGAGTCCGCTCCTGCTGGGAGGGTGCTGCCTTGTCCCGCAGGTCCATTGCAGAGAGAGGCTGGGCTAGAGACTCACCTCTTGATGCTGGTTCTACCCACGCCACCAGCTTTCAGCACACGCTCC